TGGGAGGCCGAGGCGGGTGGATCACGAGGTCAAGAGATCAAGACCATCCTGGTCAACATGGTGAAACCCCGTCTCTACTAAAAATACAAAAAATTAGCTGGGCATGGTGGTGCGTGCCTGTAATCCCAGCTACTCAGGAGGCTGAGGCAGGAGAATTGCCTGAGCCCAGGAGGCGGAGGTTGCGGTGAGCCGAGATCGCGCCATTGCACTCCAGCCTGGGTAACATGAGTGAAACTCCGTCTCAAAAAAAAAAAAAAACTTTTCAAATAAACTTCATGTGGAGCAAGCCCCTCTTAAAGAGAATTATTAAATGAAAATAAGCATGTCCCCTTCTTTCCCGTATCCTCCTACTCCTTTGTTATGGCTCTGTGGCGCTTCATGTGAGCATTCATTTGGTTGTATACACATCTCCATCTAAATGCCAATAAACGTTTTTTGGTCAATGGAATTTTATGATTTGCTTTTAGAGAGGAGGAGATCATGCTATTTTTCTTTTCTTATTTTCACAGAATCACCTTAAAGATATACTGACGTCAGTTGTGTCAAGAAGGAAAGCTTATCGGTTACGAGATGGCCATTTTAAATATGCCTTTGGCAGTAATGTGACCCCACAGCCATACCTGAAGAATAGTGTAGTAGCTTACAACAACTTAATAGAAAGGTAAATGAAGTTTCTTGTAAATTTTTTTTTGAGACGGAGTTTCACTCTTGTTGCCTAGACAGCAGTGCTATGGTGCAATCTCAGCTTGGTGCAGTCTCAGCTCACCGCAACCTCTATCTCCCGGGTTCAAGTGATTCTCCTACCTCAGCCTCCTGAGTAGCTGGGATAACAGGCATGTGCCACCATGCCCAGCTAATTTTTGTATTTTTAGTAGAGACGGGGTTTCTCCATGTTGGTCGGGCGGGTCTCAAACTCCCGACCTCAGGTGATCCGCCCACTTCAACCTTGCTAGTTGGTTATACTCCTCTTACGAAATAGACCACTGTTAAATAATTGATTATGTTTCCATGTGTTTAAAGTACCTTTAATAGGAGACAATTTTATTTTTTTAAGTCCTATACTTGCCTGAGATGAAGTGAATTATTTTGGTATTCTTTTTAATCAGAAGTGAAGTTCCAGAGTTTGGCTGCATGTGGGTTTAGTGTGCTTGTCCCCCACCTCGACTCTTAGGTGGAATGTAGTAGTGCATAGGCAGTGCATCCTGAGGGCTCCTGAGGGGCATCACCTGCTTGATGGGGAAGTGAGCCTACTTTCAATTAGAAGCAGGGCCTGTGATTGTTGGGTCATAGCTGGGTTTCTTGGTGGTGGGAGGAGGAGGAGTGGTAGATATTTCTCCAGGCCCTCATTTTGCTCTTGTAGCTCAAGATCATGGCATGTGCCTGGTGTCATCATATTGCTTTTTTGGCCTCCTGCTGTGCAGACGTGGTCTCTCAGCTCATCTCTGGGATTCCTGTGTCCTTTTCCCATTGAGGGCTTCAGGACGTCTCTATGTCCTGAGTCACTCCTTTATGAGACAACCTAGATTACCTTCATCCCTATGTTGTCTTTCTTACCCTTCCATCTCCCTCTGTCCTCCACTTCCCCCAGTGGGAATTTAGTCTGAATTTTAAGCCTTTGGAAAAGCAAAAAACCAGTAATATAATTTTCCTTATGGTTACTGAAGTGACTTGAATTTCCTGTGAACGCTGGACTTTGCATATCTGGTTAGTTAGGAAGAAGAGAGGTAAAGAGATAACTGGGACTTGCACATTCAGAGAAAAAATTATGACTGGGAAGGCTGGCAGGGTGATTGGTGGACAAGTAACAGGAAGGGAAGGCAGGAGGTGTAGGTGGAAAAGCTGAGAGTTGGATAGAGCAGAGTGTTGATAGCACATGTGGGAGTCTGTACCGCTGCCCATTGCATGACTCTGAAGATCTTTACATGGGGCATGGGCCTATTTTAACCCTTCTTAAAATTGGGCTCACTGTTTAGATTGCCGTATGTGGTGATTTATTGCCTAAGTCGCATTCAGGCATATCTGTTTGGGATCATTCTTCTCTAGAAAAAACAACAAACCCCCAAAAGTGGCTCCTTGTAGTGGGTGATGTTGGGAGCAGCGTCTGGCCCTGGCGGGACTCCCAAGCCCTCTCTGCCCTGCTGGCCAGTCTCTGAGTGCCTTTGCCTGTCTGTTGGGCACTTGTTACTCTAACAGGCTGCTTTTGTCTGATGTTTCAGTCCCACGCTAATGTTCCACTGTGCTTTCCTCTGAGTTACTGCTTTACTCTTTTGTTTTACCTCATGCTATGTCTCCAGCATTGTGTAGTTTATCTCCTACTGTGTTATGAGGTAAAAACCATGTCTGACTTCTCAATTTGTATCTGGCTGTATTTTAGGAAATTGGCAGTTTCTGGATTAATTTTCCCCATTCTCGATTTTTGCCTATCGCTTCTGTGCTGTCTTTTCTTCTCATTTATTTTAGAACCAGTTGTCTCCAGTACCATTCACCTCCCTCTTTATTTGTTTTCAATGTTATATTCCTGTAGTTAAGGTCTATTTGTTGTTTCAACTGGAAGCCCTTTAAGGGAAACAATTTTTGTTCAGTACCCTGAGCTAAGTAAATATTTTAACATTGTGGAAGAAGGAGGGTAAATATAGTTGCATTATGTTTTATTTCCAGCCTTTAAAAATTAAAATTACAGACTATTCATGTCTGCAGGAGTAGACATTGAATGGATTTCTAATTCAATTAAAGATATTTTTAATAAGATTCTAGCAGGCCAGTCCTGTCCTTGTTGTTCAGTTGTCTCCATGCTGGGAATATTTCTGAAATTTTTATTTTCAGCCCTCCAGCTTTTACTGCTCCCTGTGCTGGTCAGAATCCAGCTTCTCACCCACCCCCAGATGATGCTGAGCAGCAGGCTGCACTCCTGCTGGCATGCTCCGGAGACACTCTACCTGCATCTTTGCCTCCGGTGAACATGTATGACCTTTTTGAAGCTTTGCAGGTAAGTCTTGGCTCCTTAAAGTTTACCTAGATTTATGGATAGGTTAAGAGATTCTTCAAGTCTACAAAGGTACTGACTGTTTTTTTTCTGCTTCTTGGCTTTGTGTTTTTCACTTTTGTCTGTTATGAAAACCATTATTAATACTAGCCTCATTTTTCAAATCCTGAGCCCATCTTTCTTCTCCCCACTAAAGAAAAAAAAAAAAAAAAAATCCCGTTTTCCTATTCCTATTTCAAAACATTTTTCGTTATCTTATTGTTATCCAATTGGTGATTCATTTTAGTGTCTGACTGAAAGTTTTTAAGTTGTGTATCTGTTTTGTTGATGTAAAGCCTTTTATATGTTGGAAAAATAAGTCTACCGAAGAATAATTGGAGTGTTAATTTTTTAATCCCAGGTACACAGGGAAGTCATCCCTACTCATACTGTCTATGCCCTTAACATTGAAAGGATCATCACAAAACTCTGGCATCCAAATCATGAAGAGCTGCAGCAAGACAAAGTTCACCGCCAGCGCTTGGCAGCAAAGGAGGGGCTTTTGCTGTGCTAAATTAGGATTTGAGGGTGTAGGACCCTCACCAAATTCACTGATTACTGAAAATTGTATGTTTTTTGGGTCCACATTTCAAGGCTGAAGTGTATAGTGTATATATAACCTTTCCTATGGAAATGTGACATTGAGTACATTTGTGTTGCTGTTGTGAAGCCATTAATATAAATCTTTGGTAATGACCCATCTCTCTATATTTATGTGTTCCCAGCTGTGGGAGCAGGCACTAATGAAATCCTATGCCTGGAATGGAGATGCTTAGGTACCTGAGGCTTAGTGTCCTGTGGTCTGCATGTAAGATAGATGACATTCCAGAACAAAGAAGCTGTTATAACATAGTCCCCCTGATCAGCAGGACATCTGTGTGTTCAGTGACATCATACATTCTGTATCTAGAAGTCTAAAATTTCTGCCTTTCTCCTAAAGAATGTGCTCTTGCATTTTGGCTGAAATAACCTCCACAGTGTTAAAAATCAGATACCTCCTTTAGTGACCAGTTTAATTTTAATAGCTTTAGGTAGCCCCTGAAAAATTTATCACTGTAACTCCACAGGAAATATGACTTGCAAGTGCTGTGTGTACTAAACCTTATAAAGTCTCTGCATTTAAAACCAAAATCAAAACTCTTGGAATGTAAGTAATTAACTCTATGTCTTCCCATGACTCAAATTTTGTTACAGTTAGTATGTCCAAAGACTTTGATTGGCAGTTTCTTGGGTTAATTATTCCTATAGAATGTATTTTAAGAAATCTATACAAATTTGTTTGGTAATTGCCCTATTTCTAGGAGGTATCTAATTCTACCCTTTCAAGTGATAAAGTGAAAATAATTTACATTCGACAGTGTTACTGATAACAAACCTAGGTTTTTTAAAAGATATGTTGCTTTTTACTTAAGAGATAGCATTGACAAATTAAGAATATATAGATAGGTTTGTGTCGGTCTAAATAATAGCTATATAGATATGTATATATGGTTCACGTATCTGGATCTGTGTATTTGATTTTGTACTTTAAATGTGACAAATAAACTTTTTGGGAGAAAACTTTGTTGTTTATTAAACATTGTAAGGAATATTGCCTTCTACAGAAATATGAAAATTGCTTGCTTTTTATGAGGGCTTGGCAGAGACTTCTCAAAATAATGTACTAGATGAGAAAGATTAAAAAGCAGATTCCAATTAAGGTATGCCATTTTTTTTTTCTTTTTGAGATAGAGTCTCCCTTTGTCTCCCTGACTGGAGTGCAGTGGTATGGTAACAGCTCAGTGCAGCCTCGACCTCTGGGCTCAGGTGATTCTCCCATCTCAGTCTCCTAAGTAGCTGGGACTACAGACTTGCACCGCCATGCACGGCTAATTTAATTTTTTTTTTTTTTTTTTTTGTAAAGACAAGAGTTTTACTATGTTGCCCTGGCTGGTCCTGAATTCCTGAATTCAAGCAGCCTGCCCACCTTGGTCTCCCAAAGTATTAGGATTACAGGCTTGAACTACTGCACCTGGCCAGGTATGTAATTTCTTTACTTATGTATAGGTTAAGACTTAAAAAGAGAACCAACAGCTTAGTTTCAGTTCTTGGCACAAGCCTTTAGTTTTAGGTGAGATACTGAAGGATTTTTAGGGTTTGGAAGAATTTGAACTAATACTCGAATATATTAATTTTGGTTTGGACTACTCATATATCTGGGCCTTAATGCTGCCTAGCAGTATGTGTGAAATGTCATAGTCCCATAGATGGAGGGCCAGCCAGGAGCTTTGACTATGTTCTGCTGCCCATTGCAGTGTCAGCTTCCATAGGCTGTATGGCTGTATGTACAGCACAGAGGAAACTGCAAACAGGAAAACTTCTCACTACTCTCTAGGACCTGGTCTGAATTCCTAGTCACCTACCCACCTGGTGGGACCACAGAATGCTGGAGGGTCTCCCTTTGCCTCGTGTATTTCAGTCTACACTCTGGTTTTCTGCTCTCCATGCCAGTTTTCCTAGGAAATCATTTTCTAAAGAGGGGAGATGGAGTAAAGTGCAGGGCAGGAAGGTACAAACAGTAATACTTTGCATTTTCACAAGAGCCCCTAAAACGTCTGAACTTTGTCCCCAAAGGCTCGTTTCATCTGTAACATCATTGCCAGCTGTGGGGACTCTGAGTGCAATCATCTCTTCTCTAATTAGGTTAAGAAACGAATGCTTATTATCAAGCCTCATGTAGAAAAATAATTATTTTAATGAAGGAAAAAGCTGTTAGAAACCATATAATTTCAGACTTAGAATAAAAGTTATTTTTTCCTCCAGGAATTTAAGTAATTATCTTTTGGCTGTAGGTGTATCACTGGGCAAAACCAGGTGTGATAAGGCTGGCCGTACTCCAGGCAGGTGGGAGGACTCACTTAGCATGTTCTTTTGTTGTTCTGAATTTATAAAGAAAAAAGCTTTTAGGTTCAGGAGTACAAGTGTGCAGGTTTGTTATGTAGCGCGTTCTTACTACCTTTATCACCCACTCCTCTGATCAGCCAAGCACAAAGTTAATCACTTTTCCTTGCCAATGCCTGAAGTGATGCCCACAGGTAAATGCCTGTGTCCTACTATGCTTTTGACTCATTCCAAAATGCCTGTGGGAGGAAGAGTAAGAGTAAGGAAGCTTAGCTTAGATTTGGAGTGGCTCAGCATTTAATTCTAATGGGTTAAAAAGGACAACATGGCCAGATTATTTCTGGAGAATCAACTACTACTTTATGGGCACTGTAAATTGTTAGGACTAATATTACTAAAAGCATACAATTAAGACTTATGGGTTCATACTTTCATTTAAAATTCAGATCCCTTTATGAAATTTCTTTCATGTGACTTTGGTAATGTACCATTGCTGAGAGAATACAAAACATGGCTGAGGAAAAAAGGTATTTATGCCATACTTCCCCCACTGCACACACTTTCTTCCCTGGGTCTTCACAAATACCAATATTACACTGCATCTCATCAACGCTTTTCAATTCAAAGGTGTAATATTAATATGTTGGTACCAAACTGGATGGAGAATAAGGTGCAGCCAATAGCCTGAATGTAACTTTTCACAATGCTAATAGGTAAAGAAAACCACCATAGCCTATTGTCTTTATTATCAAAGTTTATTGTTGGGGTCAGTTCCTATCTACTAGGGAGTACAACTATGTCTCATTATGTGCTATAGTAATTTTAGGGTAACAGCCATTCTGCAAAATAGTTGTACTGGGGCTCTGTTAGGCATAGATCATAATTAAGTCAGTGGAAGAATGAGCCCAGAGAAACCCTGACAGTAGAGCCATTACTCTAGGAAAGTTCCAGTGCTGTACAACCTGTAAGGCATCATCGCTCAGGTGATGATGAGACTCACGGAGGTGTTGGAGTGAAACAGGAATTGAACCCATTTTCTACTCTTCTTGGCAGGATAACTATGGCTCCAAGGCAGGAACCCAAAATTAGGTCTTGTAAAATCTTTCAAGTTCCCAAAGCAAGAGAAATAAGACATAAAGAAGAAACAGCCAGTAATTAGGACAGTAGATGAAAAATTAGGTGGAACTGGAGGGAATGGAAACTTCTGGAATGCAAAGTAGCTGGGTTTAGATGCCATTTGAGATGACCAAGAATACAGTACAGGAAAAAGCAAATGGGGAAACAATTAAAATATTGACAGTTTTTTTCAGATACTAGAGATTAAGTAAAATTTCCCCCTAAGGGGAAAACTGGTTTAAAAGGATCAGAAAAGTGAATCAGTAACAGGAAAATGAGTACCTGAGTAGAAATAGGTGTTTCAAGATGCCAAGAACAGTTTATTATACAGGTGAGCTGAGTCTACAGGAAGGAAAAGTGGTTATGGCAGCCTGTTTCCAGATTTGACATTGGAATGACATTTCTAGCAATGGCTTTGTCTATGAGGTCCTGGCATATTTTTTGTAGCACAGATCGCTTTTAAAGGAATGTTTTCATAACACTCAAACTTATGTGGGAATGCAAATTACTATAGTGTAAAAATTCAGTGACCTCCCACCTATTACTGGAGGGCAGGAGATTAGGAAGTCTTGAAAGAGCTGTGGTTAAAGGCCCAAGCTCCCACTGTCCCTGTGATAAAAGTATTAAAGAAATTAACAAAACAAGCAGCAGATGAGTCAATGGGCCTTGTACCATGTAGACAGCAGATAATTTATAGCGACTTCTTCTGCAGGCAGCCTGAGAAACAGAAGAGCTTGCATACGAAATCTTGCCCTATCATTAAATATAATAATGAAAAAAATAGGGCCATCAAATGATACCCTAAAAAAGTCTAGCTGCCAATCACGTTGGGATGATAAATAAAACAGCATAGTTTAACCTATATTTTCCACACTAACCCAGTTTGTCTATAGAAAAGCCATCCGCTGGCACCAGGCCAGTATGTCTTAATTCTGTTGTTATCCTAAGTATCTCATTTTTCCAAAAGAGGAAATGTGTAAGTAGCAGGTATACATTAAGTGACACATTTCTACAAAGCTTTTTGGAAGTGCTACTTTTGGAAGCATTTTCAAAGGCAGAATAAAACTTTGAGGTTTTCTCCATAGAAGGACACCAGAGTTGTGCCCATGAGTCCCATGTTGCTGTTGAACAAATTGTCTCTTCTCCAGGAAATACCTTTGTTCATATTTACAGGTTTCTTTTGATGGACAGATGGAGTAGTCTCCAAAACAAGAAATGGGGCAGAAGCAGTTTTGTTTCTGATCACGACTCTGATGAAATGATAGGTCCTAGACTTTTCTGATACCTTATATGGTGTGGGGGAGGGGCTGAGCTGTGTCCTGGGATGGATGTATAGGCTGCTGTCTGGACCCAGGCTGCTAAGAGACCTGTGCCCTTTTCCTGATGTTCCCTGCGCATCCAGTACATCCACACTTTCAGGAATAATCTTCATGAGGATTTTCCTCTCCAGCTGTTTCAATCAGAGTTCCATTTGCTGGAAAACAGAGAGAACCTAAATGAATTAACCCTTGGCTTTTTGGAATAACTTTTAACAAACATAATAAATCTATCAGTCAGATTTCCAAATTGATGACAAGAGGCAGTTTTATGGCCACTTGGTCTCCCAAATCTCTTGTTCACTGTGAATCTGTCTACTCCCATCACTTCTTCAGGAGCTGCACAGAGAACTATGGCCGTCTAGAAGAGCAAAAGCTCATGACCAACATTAGATGCTAACATTCATAGATGTAGCTTAGCATAGCTTTTTCTCCTTCCCTCTTCTGGCAGGTTTTAATCATGTCCCTGAGGTAGTAAGGAGCTTAGGAAATTAAAAAAGTGCACAAAAATGTTATCTAACAAAAAGAGGGCAAAGTAAAAGGTAAATGAGGAAAAGATGGAAACTCAATGTAATGGTCAGCAGAAAAGGGAGGCTGGATTCATGGGGTTTCTCAAAGCAGGGGGACCACAAGCGGTAAAAGAACCAATTTTGGTGATTTTGAATGTAACAGTAAGAACTTCTCCTTGCTCCATTTAATTCCAGGGATCTCAGAATTACAATGGGATTCAGCAATATGAGTATATTTTCATTTGAGGGCAAGGAAGGAGATGTAAGTCACTCTTTGAAACATCTGGACTTATATAGTTGAAGTGGGTAAAAGAAGGTTCCCATTAACATTTCATTTGGAGAAAAAAGGAAGATGAAAGCACCTAATTATACTTTAAAAGAAAGAAACAAAATGTGTGATGATTGATGGTTTCAGGTCCTCTGTAAAAGAGGTGGCTTCTTCCTTCATATAAAACACTGTGTCTGGAGGATCAAGTTAATTTATAATTAGGGAGATAAGAATGAGAAGGTAAATGAACTGTTTGTTCTTTGTGGGTGTCTCCCCCTGCTGTACATGCTCATCTTCTTCCTCTCTGGAGTTGTGGGTGGGTGGGGTCATTTCAGTAGTGTTGTCTTGGTTAGGCCTCCATTCCTATTTTCCTTTGGAAGCTGCTCTTCTTCCGTACTCAACCCGGAAAATTCCAGGCTTACTGTCCTCAGCCCTCAAACTTTATTCACTAGAGTCTGTTTTATTTTTTGTTGTTGTTGCTTTAAAGATTCAATTAAAAAATATCTTCAGACATCTGCACTACAGGAAATTATTGTAATAGCCCACGTGAAGGTCATAATGAGACTAAGATGACTTTTAAAACCCCTGAAGTCCCTAGCGAAAAGCAAGCAGAGCTATTATTATTTCCTAGTGGCATACTGTAGCCCACTCCAGGACTGACACCCGAGGCCCAGAGGACACTGTACTGAAGGTACACTTAGTGCTCTCCCTGTGTCATGGTCCTACAGGCCAGTGAAAGTGAATACAACTGTCCCAGCATGTCAGTTACACATACTGGCCATAAATGTTCAGCATAATTTATAAGCGAAAGAAAAATGTTGGGTTTTCAGACAAAATTTTGTGCAAACTGAACAACGTCAGACTATGCTTCTTTGGGCCCAAATAATTTCTTTCAACTTTACCGCTCTCAGATGTTCTGGCAGCTCATTCTTTGTTAATTTCACCTATTATACAAGTGTTTCTGGGTCCAGGCCACAGAGCAAAATAGACACAAAGTAAATCAAACAACAGAAGTTTCATATATAGGAGAAAATGCTAATGGTCTGTTATCTATACCAGTAGTCCCCAACTTTTTTGGTACCAGGAACTGCTTTTGTGGAAGACAGTTTTTCCACAGACCCAGGGTGTCGGGGGTAGGAGCATGGTTTTGGGATTAAACTGTTCCACCTCAGATCATCAGACATTAGATTATCATAAGGAGTGCACAACCTAGATCCCTCACGTGTGCAGCTCACAACAGGGTTTGTGCTCCTATGAGAATCTAATGCTGCTGCTCATCTGACAGGAGGCGGAGCTCAGGTGGTATGCTAGCGCACTCACCTCCTGCTACGCAGCCCAGTTCCTGACAGGCCATTGACTGTTATGGTCTGTGGCCTGGGGTTTGGGAACCCCTGATCTATACTACTGGATTGTAGGCTCTAAAGGAACTTAAACACAGAAAAATACTGGAAAGAGAGAAGGTATCTGTAGAACACAAACATGTCAATCAGCAAAGGCACTGTGTATCTACTCCTGAGTAGTTACCTGTCCCTTTCCCTTCAGTTGCCCTCAGCCATGCTTTCGGTGTCACATTCTTTTGGTGGTTCTCCTCCTCCTGGCAACTCACTCTCAATTTCCCATAGGACATCATCTTCCTCCTCCAAGTTGCTAGAGATATGGCACTTCTTGAACCCTTGGACAATGGACTCACTCGAGATGCTATTCCACGCGACCATGACCCACTCCAGAAAGAGGCCCAGGGGTGGCTTCTTAGCATTCCCCGTTGGGCTCAGCGCCAGGTTTCCAGCCAGAAGCCAGTTGGAGTACTGGGCCCGTACACTGTCATTCAGTGGCTTGTAGACCACGACGTCCAGCACCTGAAGCTGTGAGGTCAGACCCCCTGGGATGATCACCATGTCAGTGTTCATGCTTTCCATGGAGTTCTTCACAGAATCTGTGGCATGGCCCCGGAAGCCATTCAAGATGAGCATCCCTCGCTGCTTAGGCACCGCTCCTGTCCTCCGTCTCCACACCACTTCCAACCAGTCCTGCATCAAGTCTTCAGTCATCCACCCATACCGGTGGCAGCGGATTTCCATCCCACTGGGAAACTTCCCTGGGGGGATATACGTTCCTCTCAAAATGATGTATGGAGGTAACTTCCTCCCATCAGCCAAGACACCAAGCATTGCTGTGATTTTCAGTTTTTCCCTGCCTGGTGTCTTGACCAAGACAGGCTTTTCGCCCTGGTTATCAACAGTTACCCGTGATGGCACCTCTAAACAAATGGGCGTCTCATCTGCATTCCCCATCTGAGCTACCTCATAGTCATGTGCCCTGCGCAGAGCCAGGACACTGCGCTGGTAGGTGACGAGTTTCTCAGTCAGGTCTTCCGGCAGGTGCTGGGGCACAGGCACTTTATGCCTCAGAGACAGGTCATACCTTCTCATCATTCTTCGACACCAACCCAAGCTTGCCTTGAACCCTTTCTCTGGAATGTTCATTTCCTGGGCGATTTCAAGAGCTTTCAGCTGCATCGCCTCCCGGGTGATGGGGTCCCCTTTGGCCTGCATGTATCTGACATATTCGGCCACACGTTGGTCCACCAGAGCAAACCTCCCATTCTTTGGGCCTCGGAATGCCCGCCGCATGGCATGGGCGTTTTGAAGCTGTGGCTTCACTTTGCGCCAGTCTCGAACGTTTTTTTCCAGTACTCCGAACTGCTTGGCAGCCTGGCAGTTGTTGGTGCTCTCAGCATATTCCACCACCATCAGCTTGAACCCTGCGTCGTAACTGCGGCGCATGCCCCGGCTGAACTGAAACTTCCCAGCTATGTCGTCAGCTGAGAGGTCATACCCTGGGAAGCCCATGGCCATGTAGAAGGGGTACCCCTCACTCCACTCGGGCAGCTCTGTGATATCCCGAGGCAGACGGAGGCCAAAGCTGTCGAAGTGCTGAGGCTGAGGAAAGTGGGAGGTAGCATTCATTGGGCTTGGCCAGTCTGGAGGCTTGATGTCAGATTCTTCATTTTCTGGGAGACAAATAGGGAAGGGCAAAAATAATGCCAATAAGTAAAATGGTTTATACCCTGATTTTTAGGGGTTGAAATGACAAGAATACCCTAATTGATGTTCACCAAAAATAGTAACTTTAATAACAGGTAACGTTGCCTAAGTCCTTATCCATATGCCAATTTATATGAACTGCCCACATCCAGTTCTCTCAGTAACTGTAAGTTACTGTTCCTTCTTTGCTACAGAGGTTACTTAATACAGCAAGGTAGCCAAGCCAGAAAATGGCAGAGCGGGGAATTGAACATAGGCACCAAGCTTGGACCAAATAATCTGGGGGCCGTGTTTGCGCCAAAATACTCTTTATGTGAATGAGAAGCCAAATGTAAACCATACTACCATATAATATTACAGAGATACTTCATGGCCTGAATCATATCCCTTTTGAACCAAGAAAACCTATTGCAAAAACCATACTTAGCAAAGTAAGGCTTATGAGGCAGAAAATTAGTTCTTGCACATTAATGGTAGAATTGGGTTTCACTTTATATTTAGAAGGTGGTCACAGAGACTAGGCACAGTGGCTCATGCCTATAATCCCAGCACTTTGGGAAGCCAAGGTGGGCAGACTACAAGGTTAAGAGATTGAGACCATCCTAGCCAACATAGTAGCCCATCCCTACTAAAAATATAAAAATTATTTGGGCGTGGTGGTGCGCGCCTGTAGTCTCAGCTACTTGGAAAGCTGAAGCAGAAGAGTCACTTGAACCCAGGAAGTGGAGGTTACAGTGAGCCGAGATCGCACCACTGCACTCAAGCTTGGCGACAGAGCAAGACTGTCTCAAAAAAACAAAAAAAAAGAAGGTGGTCACAGAAATTGAACATGATTTGGGGAAATTACCCCATTACCCTATCTCACCCAAACTAACTAAAATGCCATCAGTTGTAGGATGCATCATTACGTGTCATTAGGAAAGAAAACACTACTAATTAAGCTATGACATGCCATTGATTTTAAGAGGCATTCTCAATTTCAGAGACAGTAAAGCAATGGGGGAAAAACATGTCTTATAGTTAGTGAAATACGGCATTTTAAACTCTTACTTCTGGAGAAAAGACAAAACTATTCCAGCCATCTGGAAGCAATGCTATATTCATTCAACTGCAGCCACACTAACCATTTTTCTTGATAAAGGACTAGGTACTTCTTAAGATACATTTGCTCATATGTATTGCTTGCTTTTTCTATCCAATATGAAATGGACAGGAAGCCGGGTAACTCAGGAAGCGTGCTTCCTCTCACTATTCTTTGTTTGCAGAGGTGCGTGGTATGCTACTGAGGTAGCCCTGTTCAGCCACAAGGTGCACTGGACCAAACGCCGCACAAGCTCATTTCACTTAATCCACATAGGTCATACATCGAGTCTTGTTACTCAGAGCTGACAGAGGAAGAAAGGAAGCTCTGAGGTAAAAGCAGTTGCCTAAGGTCACACATTTAGCACTTCGAGAGAGATATTTTAAAACTCCAAAGCCCATAATCCTTCTATCTCACTCTTAAATACCCCATGGAATGGCCACTGAAAGTCCCACTTCACAGTGTTCCCAGCGGGATGGACGCTGAATGGATTTACTTGTAGTACCTGCAGAGGTGCCTCCTTGGAGTTGCCACTCGTCAGAATTCTGAGACTCCTCCTCCCCTTCCAACCGGGTGATCATGTCTGGCTTAGGGAATGGGAATTCTGTTTATAGGAAATAAAATAGGTAACAGCTGCGTGTTACTGTCCTGGAGCACTACCAGAATGAGTAGTATACTTAGGAACCACTCTCCCCTTCTTTGTGAAAACAAGGGGAAAAGGCTCAGGGATACTTAAAAAAAAAAAGATAATGGAAAATAGATCTGTCCAAGGAAATGGATGGATCTCTCCTAATGAGGGATGGTATTGGCACCAACAATAAAAGAACTGCATTTAGAAGGGAAGAGAAGGAATGTAGCTGCTGATCCAATGATTTGGTACCTGTATGAGCAAACGGGAAATCTCTTCAAATGGGTACATTCTGCTGATAAAATGGATGATATCAATTTGGGGTGGGGACTGGGGAGAGAAGTCTTTGCGAGTGTATGTCCCCAAGCTTCTGAGGCTGACAGGATAACAAGGCCTGCCTTCCCTCCTAAGGAACAGTGAGGCACAGGCCCAGATCCATGGGGACATTTCTAAGGTCATATGGTTTTTTCCTTAAAATGCGAATGCCTGGGATGAATGAGGGCAGTTCTGAGGCAGCTCGGGTTGCCGAGTAGGACAGCACAATATTTATATACTGCCCAAACAAAAAACTGGAAATTAAATGGGGGTAGACATTGAGGGGGCAGAGCCTAAGTGCAGGAGAGAGGGATGTTGGCTATACCAGAGAAGAGAGTCATGTAAACAGTTCTCTGGGCTCAGAGCTTCCAGGAGACAAAGGAAAGCAAAGCTTTACCCAGGGACAGGACGGTTTCATAATTCATCCTCATGACTTCCCGGTACAGGGCCTTTTGCTGCTCCGTCAAAACTTCCCACTCCTCATCGGAAAAATATATGGCCACCTCATCAAACAGGGCTGGTACCTGGAAGAGTGAACAGCCCTTTCTCAATGATCAACAGCCACATGCACGCAGACAGACTTTCAGACCAGACAGGACCTTACAGACAGCCTGGCACAGCCCATCCTCACAGGTCAGGTAAGGGACCCTGACCCAGGGGAAAACAGACTGTCCACATTCATACAGCTGCAGGAGGCCAACGAGGGCAAGAGCACAGTCCTGTGCCCACCACAGCGGCTGCCACCCTGTTTGGATAAGGTAAGCAGCACCTTGAGAAGAAAACTAACTCCCTACCATGATCACTGGCTGGGGGACACTGGGACATTGTACCCTCATGTGCTGCAGTGAGAGCTGCTCACGGCTCACTTCTGACCCACCCACACCCAGATAAAGTGTCTCACCAACACACTCACTCCCAATTGCCTTGGCTCGGGGCGGGGTGACTTGGGTTTGTAAATCTGAATAGGATCACTGCCCTCCATGGGATCTTTGTGGTTTTCCAGGGCACTGCATTTCCAAGGATACTAACCAAAGTGTTAGACTTGGAACCCAAAGCTACAGGGAGGAACCCTACTTGGCCTTTCAGATCCACAAGAGCATCAAGAGGAAGAAAGAAGGGCTAATTAGAGCTTAAGGTATGTAATGAGATTCCAGAGCAAATTCATTCGCTTTGATCCTAGACCAGGTGGGCAGAAGCCCAAAGTCTGTGTCTCCCCCTCCTGTTCCTCTGCTTCCCAGCCCCAGCACAAGGGGGCTCCTCACTAGCCCAGGGCAGCCAAGCCACCCAAACCAACCTCCCCTCTTTGTTTTTCACTGTATTTTTTTGTTCAGTCATTAAAAACCCTACTCCAAAGCTCATCCTATTTAGTGATAAGGCAGCACTGGACAGCTTGTTTCAGGCTGGTTATTTTGTATTCTTGCCTTCAAAGCTATTTTCCAAAGCTGTATCTTGGGTCTGAGTGATTATGATGTTGTTTTTCCTCAGTGTAGAAAATTAGTGTCCTTATACTATATAGACTGCAGCCACTTCAGGGGTCAGGCCATCAGTCACATGCATTGGCATTTCCTCCCTGACACATGGAAGCCCCCTTGTTCTCTTCCTACTTCCACAGCACCTCACATGTAGGAAGCACACACTAGGAAAGTATGTGCCCTGTAACTGCTTCATTTATTAATTTGTTCCCCACAACGGGCCTGTGGAGAAGCAGATACCTCTATCTTTTTTTTCCTTTGACACAGAGTCTTGCTCTGTTGCCCAGGCTGGAGTGCAGTGGCACGATCTTGGCTCACTGCAACCTCTGCCTCCCGGGTTCAAGCAATTCTCCTGCCTCACCCTCCCCAATAGCTGGGATTACAGGCGCACGCCACCACATCTGGCTCATTTTTGTATTTTTAGTAGAGACAAGGTTTTACCATGTTGGCCAGGCTGGTCTTGAATTCCCGACCTCAGGTGATCCACCCACCTTGGCCTCCCAAAGTGCTGGGATTACAGGTGTGAGCTACTGTGCCCTATTTAATCAAATAGATTAAAATGATTCTATTAAATCAAATAGAATATGGGCTCAGAGAGGTCTCATTTCCAGTCTAACATCATAGGCAATAAATGGCAGGGTTGCATTTTGGATCCAGCACTGCCTAACCCCAAGGCTCCAGCAATACCAAGCACAGCTGTCTCCTGATGACTAACCCTCAACTCTCCGTAGCTCTGTGCTCCACTTGTACTCAGCTGTGTATCGTTCCCTGAACAACCATTCCCTGATGCCCCCATACCATGGCCCATAATCTTCCCCCACCCTTGAAGGACCTCCCCTTTCTTGGTCTGGCTGACATCCACCCATCTTCCAGGACTCAGCCCAAACGCCCTGCTCCCCAGGAAGCCTGCTCTGTACCGTGCTGTGAACACACCCACATGTCCCTGGGCTCCACGCTCCCGGGGCACTCGTCACACTGTAGAATTCTTTTGGTGGACTTGTCTGCTCCTTCCACTAGGATCTGAGCTCACTGAACCTTTTTGCTTCCCTAAGCCTAGGACACTTCCTCTAGCTAGTAGTCGCTGAAAAACGTGTTTTTGAATATACAATCTAGGAAAATCTCTGGATTTCCCTTCTCTTGTTCCACTTGGAACTGTTTCAAAGAATCATTAAATTTTATCTGTCACAAAACCAAGCCAACTCTTTGGAGTAAGAATGGACAAAAATCTCTAAGTGTGAAATACGAGGAGGTAAAACGGATTCGTCTCCAGGCTTTCCTCAGACTTCCTCGCCCTGGAAAGCCAGTCAGCCCAGGAATTTTCCACCCCACTCCTTTCCCACTTCCCAGGCTTTTAAAGAACTCTCCCTTTGGCCTTTTTTTCTCCCTGGGAAGTCCCAGATCCAGGCCATACCTATTTATAGTCCCCTTCCCTTTGCTGATAAAATGGGAGCAGGACTGGCTATGCCTGTCATTTCAGAGGGGCCATCAATACTCTTAGCGGGGGTAACACATTCTAGGCCTGATGAAAAACATCAGGTACCAGGAGCCCTGAAGCTGCAAGAAGGCTGGGGGGCTGGTGCAGGATTCATCTCCTCCTATTGATGACTGAGCCATGGAGGATCTTCAAACAAGCCCACATTATGCTCCAGAGGCACAGTGCAGTGGCTTAGAAATTCTCCTCACAGCAAGCCTCTGTGAGAATGGAGCGATCCCTTCAGCAAGGCCCTGCTGCGCAGGCCTTCCCTCGCTCCACAGAGGCCTTTTATCTGGCCAAACACAGCAGAAGGTAAACAGGGCCGGCCCTGGGCAAAACTGAGAAGTCAGGCAGTCTGCGTACCACCTCCAGACACCCCTTCTTGGCCTTGCAGGTAGGAGCCCTCCATCCCTGCCATCCTTCCTTTCCTCAGAAGATCAAGGACTCACTGGTAAGTGTTCTTCCTCCAGCTTGTGTGCACTGTCTTGCTCTGCTCAGGAAGCTGGCATTCCAACGCTGTCTCCAAGGGTAAATGTTGTAAAGTGCTTACACATTGCACAGCCTCACTAAAGCCTTGCAGCCACCCAGCAAAGACGTGGGATCCCAGGGGAGTGAGTCTGTACTGACCCACTGATGGCGTGCCTGCTATGTGCCAAGCACTGTATGGGACACTCAATCATCTATTCTCTCATTTAATCCTCTAAACTAGGGACATGGGGATCACTACCTCACTTTTATGGGTAAGGAAACAGTGGTTAAGTAACTTGTCCAAGGTCACAGAGATAGAAAGTCTGATGCCAAAACTAGGCTTTCTTAGCAGGCCACTCAGGCCTTAGCATAGTGGCTGTAGAGAGCCTGAGGCCTCCCTTAGAAGATGGGCTAAGGCCTCATTCCACAGAGCTAAGGAGAAAGCTCCAACTCGACGGCGCAGCACTCCACGTCCTCCTGGCTGGTTCTGGCCCCTGGCCTGGCCTCCTCCTATGCCTGATGCCCTTCCACTCTCTGCTGTGAGTTTCAGGTTCCAGCTGCAGGGGAGCTGCTCCTAACTCTGCACACAAGCGCCTTTCCCCGTGCTTCTGCCTGTACTGTCCTCTTGCCTGAAGCGCAACCCACTCCCTTCCCTCGGCTGATTCCATCATGACTAAGACTCAGTTCAAAGTACATTCTTCCTTTTTTCTACTTGAAATTGTATTTCTATTTCGATCCTATAAAATTTTATCCTACTATATATTATAGTTCTTATACTTGAAAAGGTTTCACTGATCACCCTAACATAATTCTCTATAACCAAAATACATATTTTAAAAAGATTCTTTTCTTCTAATTTAATGCTCTAGAGCAGGGTTTCTCAATCTCAGCACAACTGACATTTTGGGCCAGTTAATTCTTTGTTGTGTGCATGTGTGTGGGTGGGGCATCCTGTGCATCGCAGATGTCTAGCGGCACCCCTGGCTTCTACCCACTAGATGCCAGGAGGATCTCCCAGTCCCCAATGCCCCCCCCGACTCAGTCAGACAACCAAAAGTATTTCCAGATATTGTCAAATATCCAGGGGTGGGGGAAGGAGTAGTGTTTCCAGACGTTGCCAAATGTCCAGGGGTCGGGACAAAATTGCTCATTGCTCAAGATTAGGCCTCGTCCAGGAAGCCCCAGGTTCTCGGCCTGAATGAGGCATTTCCCCACCGGCTCCTGGCGCATCCTTGCAGACCTCCACCACTGCACTCTGCACACTGTGCTTATTGTTACTTATGTTTACTTCCCTGCCTTGCTCACAAGACTAGGAATTCCATCAAGAAAAAAACCTCTCTTTACACCCAGCACTGTGTTTGGTAACTGTGGATGGATGGCCAATTGCCTGGAGGCTACAAGTGCCCAATCCCCAGCACCAGCCAGCTGCTGGCCTCCCTCCTCCGGCTCCCCTGGTTACTTCCTTCTTTCCCCACTCAAACATTGTTTGTCTTCATCTTGCTCCTTCCTCACTGTCCCAACGCATTCACTTTCATTGCACCTGTTCTCCAAGGCTGTCCATTTAGATGTTCTGGGCTCGCCATTTTAGCCTCAAAGCCCTGAGTTTCGACTGCCTTGGGGTTTTGTTCCAGGCTAAATGGACCCGACACCTGCTTAAATCAGAATTGGCAAGAAGGATGTAGTGGGCAAAGAACACTGCTAAGACAAAGGCAGTGCAGCGTCCAAAGCTAGACTGGCAAACCCAGAGCCTGTGGCTGCACTGCTTTTTTTTTGTCAAATTAAGGAATCGCATACATATGGTAAAATGTATTATTTTAAAGGGTATAGCTCAGGAGACCTGTTTTGAAGAACAAATGTCAGTGTACACGTGTATCCTTGGGGTAAAGCACATAGCCTTTCTGCATCCCAGTTCCATCATGTGGTAGGGAACAATTTAGAAGTGCCATGCTTCTATAGATAGAGACTCTTTATGGAAGCAAAGGATACTATGTATACTGACAGTATTTATATACAATAGAAAATAAGCAGAGAAAAGGAATGTCAATTTGTTGCTTATTTAAAATGCTTAGTCTTCATGCCTAATTACCAAGAAGTCCAGTAACTACTGTGAATAACTATCTGTAACCATAAATATCTGCTGCATTTGCATATGTATAAACTGACCTCTATCACACTATTCTGTGTGTGTATCCGAAATCTCCGTATTCCCTGCTGCCCACCATTTCAATCCAGGCCAGCTGGATACGCAGCTCTCCTGTGTGAACTGTGATAAGAGGTGCTCACACAGAACCAACCAGCCTAACCTCTCATGTCAACCCAATGATTCGAGTCTTATTTAAAATGGTTCCCTTCAACCAGCACTAAGTCAGCAAACATCTACTTGGTGCCTACAATGTGCCTGGCATCAAACACAGTGCAGGAGAAGTGGCTGAATGAGAGAAACAAGGTCTTGGCTTCTAGGACTTCCAATCCAATGATGGCAAGCTACATGGCTGAGGGACTGCTTCCATAACCACCACCTCCATTCTTTGCACTGCCTTTTAAAGCCACAAGGCTGATTTCTCAGGAATGCAAACACACCGGGCTGGGCTATTTTTACTTCCCTGGCTCTCAGGCCTGCTACTGCTGGCTGTGTGGACTCCACACCTTCTTACTTACCCATCCGCCCTCAGAGCAGATTCGGACTTTCTGCATGACAACCGGGCCGTCCTCCAGTTCCCGGCTCTGAATCTCTTCTTCCTCTTCCTCTTCTTTCAGGGACAAATTGAGAGGGTAGGCTGCGGACTCCATCTCTGCAGATAAGATTCAGGTTCAGAAAAACCAGGTGTCACTGGAACCTTCCCAAAGCCTATGATGGTGGAGGCTGAACTACATACTAACCTCTTTAGCCCCAAGCACTGTGACCGCTGGAGGGAGGTAAGGGAACAGAGTCGGCCAGGAAGCTACAGGGTGTCATGTTTAATTATGGTAAGAGAGGCTATGGGTAGATAATGTCTCTGGCTGCCTTCAAATATTTAAAAAGCTATCTGGGGAAGAGAACCCAGACTGGTTTGTAGAGACTGGAGGGCAGAATTGAGGCCAGCCAGTGGGTAAATATTCCACTACAAGGTTTTAAGCTGTGAGAAAGGCAGTACTTTCTCACTGCCAGTCCCACCCAGGGGAAAGGTGCTAATGTCCTATCAGTGAAGGTGTCTGAACACAGATTGGATTGGGTGCTAGAAGCCAGTTAAGCATGGGCGGAGTGGTTGGCTCCGTAGGCCTCTCACCTGGATTTTCCAAGTTGAAAGCAGAAAATGGGGTCATTCTACCTTAAGGGACTTTGCAAACCCAGGAGTCAGTGAAACATAGTCAGAGCTATGCCTGGATACCCAAAAAGATGCAGAAATCTGCTGGGGCCCACCCTAACAGGGAAATGATCCATTGCCTCTGGGATGCAAATTCTCTATTCGCTGACTCTTGGCCAGTACAAAGGGCCGCGCTCCTGCCCTCTACAGGCACAGGCAATTCCTAAGTGCAGAGTGCGGGTGCATCTTAAGGGCCGCATCTTCTAGGACTTCCAAAGAAAAGATCCCTCTGGAGTTCAAAGTCGGTTCTTTCGATAATTCCAAAAAAGATGGGCGAACACGGCATGGATAGGTCTAGGATTCAGATGCCTGCAGCAGCTGGGGCCCGAACTTGGCCGCGGCCTCCCCGCCGGCTCCCGGGCAGAGGTGGGAGGGGCCGCCGCCCCGCACGAAGGTGCCGCAACCAGGGCCGCCGCCCGCCCTGCCCAGCCTGCGCCACCGCCGCCGCGCCCCGGGGCGCGCTCGGATTTCTCCAGCCATCTTGCCCCATTTCCCTTTCTCCGCGGCCCCGCGCCGGCAGCGCTCCCGCCGCCCCCTCCGCCCGGCCCGCCTCCCGGCCGGGCCCCCTCCCAGCCCCAGCGCACCTGCCGGGCGGCGAAAGCCGGCGCCGCCCGCCTCCCCCGGCGGGCCCGCAACAAAGGCGGCGGCGGCGGCGCAGCCTCGGCGCCCGCGCCCCCGCCGCGGCCCAGCCGCCCGGGACCCGGGGGAGGGGCCGCGCCGCCGCCGCCCCCGCCCCCGCCCGCGCGCACTCACCGCCGGGCCCAGCGGCCGGGGCGCGGGGTGGGGACGCGAGGGCTCCGGCCCGGCTGTCACAGCGCCATCCTTTCCGCCTCTCCGGCCTCCCGTGCGCGCGGCCCCTCGGGAGGGAGCGGGGGAGGACACGTGGTGGGAGGAGGGAAGGTCCGGCCCGGAGCTGAGGGTGTTGGGAGGCGAGGGGAGGAGCGCGGCTGATGTCAGCAGGCCTCGGTTGCGCCGGGGGACGGCGCCCGCGCGAGCTCCGGGGCCCTCCTCTCGGCGCGGCTTCCGGCCGGTTAGCGCACCGCCCGGGCAGTCCCTGGCGGGCCTGGGCAGCAGTGCCCTTGGCCTTCTCCTGCCCCGCCCGCTGCAGGCCGCTTCCAGTGCCGCGTGTGACCTCGGCGTGGACGAGGCAGGAAGAGCCCGGATTGATTTTAACCGAGCGTAGCGTGGGCGCACAGTTCCATGTGCTCATTTGCAGTCACCAGCGGGTGCACTTGCTTGGATGAGCTCTACAGGCGCTCTCGCTGCGCTTCAGGGAGTGAGAGACTAGACTGGCATGGGAGTGTAGGGACAAGAGGAGTGGTCTTTGGGAAAGAATATTCGTATTCTGGCAGCAGGCTCCTGTCCAGAAATTCGTCATATAGATGGAGAAGGAACTTCCTGATTTTTGTAGCTGTTGTCTGTTAAATCCCAAGGCATATAACCCCTTGAACAAAGTAGGTGTATAGAAGGACCTTTCCTCTCCAAAACGTTCAAAGGAGTTGTTTACTCTCAGCTTTGGGGACAATACAACAAAAGTGACCTGAGAAGCCTTGAAACCTTTTTCATTTCAGAAAAAGATTTTGGGTTTGGGTTTTCGTTGAGAACTTGTTAAAGAAAAAATTATTCTGACACTTGTTAAAACAGTAAGGAAGGCTTTATACAGTGTTATTGCTATCTGTAGGTGTAACGATGATCACACTAGGGAGAGAGATGAGGTCTAACCTGGCATACAGTAAGGACAGCTGGGAATGTACAGCCAAGGAGCAGAACGAAGGGGTCAGTAGATGGAAAGTTACTGAGACGAGACGCAAGCTCTGGAGGGATTCTTGCTGAACCCACTAACAGGATTCCTGCTGAAGGCAGGCCAGGGCGATCAGATATCTCAGATATCGAGGGTGAGGAAATAAGGAATTTGATCAGATACCAAGGGTGGTGATTTCTCTTTAACCTGACTTAGCAGGATTCTTGCTACAATAGAGCTGGGCAGGCCAGAGGTGCAGGGGGTGGGGGGTGAGTGGTCAAGGGACCAGGGTGGAGGGCTGCTAAAGAAGAGGGCTGACACCTGATTAAACTTTTGTCAAGGAGAGAGTCCGTCAGACTCTTCAGATTGTCCCTGAGACCTGAGTATCTGTTGGAAAAGATCTGTCTTTCCAAGTTTTCGTGGGCACTACTATTTATATATGACTTTTCTCTGTCATGGGAGAGGCCACTGTGCGCTGTACTCTTAATACATAAAATGTAGCATGACATACACATCTCTGACCTCCAATCACTGCCGACAACCCAAGACCATAGAAGATCTAATCAGTAGGTGGGAAAGACTGTTCAAATACTGGGAGGGAAGCTAGAATTTATTTTTTTTGTTTTAATGAACAATTATTTTTGTGTATAAAGTAAGTATTTGTAGAAAAGGAGTGACATCTTAGCTTGAATTGATTGGCATTCCACTCGATTTTTCTGATGAAATGGCAGGTTCAAATAGAAAGGGCATCAGGAAGGGAGAGGGGTACTAGGGGTGTTCGCTGGCACCTCAGCATCTTAGAAATTAATACAGTTAGCCAAAAAACGCCCCTCTATATTAGAGTTTTAGTCTCTGAGAACCCTAATGTTCTCATGGGCTTTGATTAGGTGTCCCTGGGATGAAACTAACAGTGACCCCCCTGAATTCTTGACTTGGAACCCACAGTCCCATGATCTCAATTACTGTCAGAGGATCCATCGTTCTATGGGTCTGTAATTGCTAACAAGACTTACTCCAGGAGCAAGGTGCTGGTGTGGCACAATACACTGCATACTCATGTTTAAGTGGTTTTAAGTGGTTTTCTGAGTCATTGTGCTTCTCTCTGCTGGTGTTTCTTCTGCAAAAAGAGCGTTGAAGCAGATATCGTCCTAATGTTCCCTCAGCTCTATTATTGTTCCCATTCTCCATAAGACTGCATCTGAGTCTGAATGGGGAGTGATTGAATCCAGTCTTTGAGACAGTGCATTACTCTGGTAATTCCATAGGATGGACTCTTAGTTGGTGGCTAATATCAACAGAACATGCATGTAATCAACATAGTTGTTCTTTAATGATGCTGTTGGTCTGACTTCATCCTTCCTCCTGTTGAATTATTACAGTACACAAACCATAGGGATGCCAAGGAGCCTCAAATTCCAACTTTTACAAAGTACTTATTTCTAACTGTAGTGCCCTCCAGTGAATACACATTTCTGATTGCCTTCAGCAGAGGCTCCACAGACGGGTCAGCATAGCTATTGGCTCACATACATCTATTCCTCAGGGACTGCTGTAGATTGAATTAATAGTCTTGGTACTTTGTTTCCCTGTGGTAGTGTTACATATCACACCTTTGCCAAGGTGTCATGTGCAGAATGTACTTCAATGCCCCTTCACTTGACCTGCTTTTATGGTGAGCTTCAGCCAATGGAATTTGGGGGGAAGTGACTGTGTGTGAGTCCTGAGCAGGGGTCTTAAGGACACAAAAGTTTTTCCTTGCACCTCTGGGAGCTTTTGATCTCTGCTATGACAAAAGCATGCTTAAGTAGTCACTGCATCTCCAACTTGGACATCAGAATGAGGCATGTGTTACAGAGCGATTCTTGCTAATATGAAGACCAGTGACAATTAGAAAAGATCATTATTTGAAGCTACTGAGTACAGGGGTGCCTTGTTATATAGCAATTTTAAAGGTATAACTTATTGAGATGATGACAAGAGGCAACCTTGGCCTTAGGGCTCCCAACCTTGGCCCTCAAAGTGTTGCTCTGAAACGGGAGAAGGAGAATTGACCATTCTGTGATAGATAGCCTCAGGTATATGAACAAAGAAATCCTAGTTGGGAAGGAAAGGAGGAGAGAACCAAATGGGGAAGAAGCGTCAGTGCTGGCTGTATCTTTCTCTTTCCTGGGATTCTGGCACTTCAGAGAAAGGGCAAGAAATGAGCTCTGGCCCTAGAAATTACCCAATAAGAAGCCAGGCATGCTGGCTTTTATCTGTAATCCCAGCTACTCAGGAGGCTATAGGAGGATTGCTTGAGCCCAGGAGTTCAAAACCAGCCTGAGCAACATAGTGAGACCCCATCTTTTTAAAAAGATATTACCCAATAAAGCCAGAAGTTATTCCTGGGACATCTTCATAAAATGGTAAGGAAAATTCTGCTCTGAGCAGTTCATTGAAAGGTCCTAGAGGTTCTTGGAGAGGAGGTGTGCTGTTAGAGCATCTCAGAGAATTAAGGAACAGTCAGTAACACTTAGTTTCATACTATTATAGCTACTGTAACAAAGAGACTCCAAATGCATAAAGGCAGAACTGTGATTTCCATTGATGTAATAGTCCAGAGTGATTCTGTCCACAGGTGACTCCTGATGCCATGATTTAGGATCCGTGTTCCTTCCATATTTTGGCTTTGGTACCACCTGGGGCCTGTGGTTTTCTCTATCTGCCAGAGTGAAGGGGAGAGGAAATGAAGAAGGCACACCCTTGTCTTGCACCTACAGTGACATACATCTCTTTTATTCACATTCCATTGGTTGGGATCAGTTACATGGTCACACCTGTATGAGAAGAGGCTGGAAAATGTGTGTGTATCTCTATATAGAAGTGGAGTAGAGGGAAGGAAGAGAGGAGGGAGGGGGAGAGAGAGAGAGAGGGGAATTGGCTTATGTGATTATGGAGGCTGAGTCCCACAGTATGCTGTCTGCAATTTGGAAAGCCAGGAAAGCTGGTGATATAATTCAGCCTGAGTCTGAAGGCCTAAGAACCAGGACCTTCAATGTCTGAGGGCAAGAGAAGATGGCCACCCAGCCCAATAAAAACTTTTTGTTCTATTCAGGCCCTTAGTGGATTGTGTGATGCCTGCCTATGTGGTGAGGATGGATTCAAATACTAATTTCTTCCAGAAATACCCTCACAGGAACACCCAGAAATAATGTTTTACCAGCTATCTGAGCACCCCTTAGCCCAAGAAAGTTAACATATAAAATTAGCAGTCACAGATATGATATTTCTAGGTGTAAACTTTTTGATATTTATTCTGCTTGGTTTTCTCTGAGTTTTCTGGATCTGTTTGGTTTGGTGTCAATTGCTAATTTTGGAAAATTCTCGTCTATTATTATTTCAGATACTTTTTTCCGTTCCTCTCTTTCTGTCTTCTCCTTCTGCTATTTCCATTATGTGTATATTATACCTTTTGTAATTTTCACACAGTTCTGGTATTCTTTTATTTTCAGTTAGGGAAGTTTCTTTTGACATATCTTCAAGCTCACTGATTCTTTCCTTGGCTGTGTCCAGTCCACTAATGAGCCCATTAAAGCATTCTTTATTTCTGTTATGGTATTTTTGATTTCTAGAATTTCCCCTTTCAACTTTCATCTCTCCACTGACATTACCCAT